AAGTTGCCTTGGAATCCATTCATACAAAATCGTATCCGTAAAATCTACAGAAAACTAGCTCTGTAAAATCCTGCCACAAAGCCTTAATTTCTTAAGCAAATGGGCGTTTTGCTGATCCATCTTCCCAGAAGCTATAACCCAAAATTATTCTTGGCCCACTACCAATCAAAATGCTGCAGTCATATAGTGCAATCAGTTTACCCATGGAAATAAATCACTCAGAGAGCACAGTGAGACTTATTCCCAAGAAGAAGCAAATTGAATCAAAGCTTCAGGATATGATAACAGTTGCACTTTCCTGTAACTCTTGTTCATCGACACCTTCTGTGCAGACTAGCCGAGGACATTTTCTTCCTAATTTAAAGACTACAGAGGGGGCACCCCATCCTTATCGGAAAAGCCACAATGGCGGAATTCCCCGCACAACACATCACATGCTCCGACGTCAGGCACCCCTTTCCCTCAGTTCCCACTAAGCCACCGTGAGCCCCTTTTCATGGCACAATAGGCCCTGTGAGAGCTCACGGCGGGGCAGGAGGGAGGGAATGTGTCTCTCTGGCGTTTTTAAGCTAGAAAGAAAACGTCCACAGCCAACCTGCACAGGGGCAGTCCCAATGTGGGGCTGCATGAGCAGACGGAAGATGAACCTCAGTATTCCTGCCGAATTCCAAGAGGAACTAATGCAAACAAAGTGTGTTTAAAGGATACAATCCTATACACTCTTACTTGGAAGTAAGTCTCACTGAATTCAGAAGGAGTTATTTTCAGGTACACCTGTCGAGAACCAGGCAGTAATACTGAAATTCCATCTTGGGACCCAACAATGTAACGACCTGAGGAACCCCTTCAAGAAAAATTCATACATTTCTAAAAAAACATATTCTGAATAAATCTCTCTAAGTCTTGTTCGCCCATAACAGAAATATCAAGGGTACGCCTGAGCCGAGGTAGGTCGCTGTCTGTGAGAGGGACTTTTCTGTGGTACCACTGAGTCTTTGAAAAACATTTCTCCAGCTGTCTGCCTGGCAACCTGAACGTTTCAATTATAGGCACCAGACCAAGACATTCCTGGTCTTTGGTTCATTTTCTTCCATAGCAGTGAACACTTCTTTGGAACGAGAGAAACACAGCGCTGGATACAGCTCTGCTTCTTCCAAGAGTCTTTCATTTTTGCTGGCTGAGGAGACTTCTCAGTGGGAAGGGCTATTCTGATACCTCCTGTCAAGAAGTGCCAGTGGAGGCAAACTCCACATCTAGAAGCATACTTTAAAGTGCATCTAGCTGAACAGACATTTAGTCCAGATGTTCATAAGCTTTATCAGAGAAGAGCACATCAACACACCAACCTCTCAGTAGGGATGGGACCACTTGCCACCCTGCTAAAAGCATGCTTCTTTACTGTACCTAAATGCCATGCCTAGAATGGAAAATAGGGGAAAGCAGGGCTTAGTTTCCCTCACAATCCCAACTGTGGCACAGACTGGCCTCATTAAAACGTCACGCCTAAAAGTGACAGCAGGAACACTTACCAAACTGCCAGTGAGCCTTCCGTTTGCCTTAGAAGACGTTCCCACAGATCTGAAAGTTAATTCTGACCTATTTAAAGGTATCTGTTATCTCATGTTTGCATGACAAACATATTCATGCAATTTCAAAATGCAAGGATGACTGGCACGATACTCCTCCTGCCACCAACTCCCACCCCCAAGCAATTAATTCTCCAAGCTTTCTTGCAAAAATCCCAAGGAGGATGACTTCAAAAGAGCACCGTGAAAAGCCATCAGAATAGAGATGAGATATACTAGGAAGGACTCGATTTTACAGAACCTTTCCAGGTCAAGATGTGGGATTTAATTAAGGGTTCCAAATGAATCAAAGCTATAGACACGGAGCGAAAATGAAGAGTTGACTAAGACCTTATCGGGGCTTTTAAAGACATAAACTACCAAACAGGGTTCACGCTTCCAACGGCAACAAGGTTGGTGCATGCTTTTCTAGCAACCCCCCTAGCAGAGGAGTCCCCAAACTTTTTCAGCCCGTGGGCACATTTGGAATCCTGACACAGCATGGTGGGCGCAGCAACAAAATGGCTGCTGAAGGAGGCGGAGCCAGCATCAAAATGGCTGCCACAGATTAACTTCAGTATCACACTGCAGATCCTTGTGCTGTGGTGGCAGCTGCTGTCGAAGCAACGTTTTAAAATATCTTCACAGCCAATCAAATCCCCAATGGTCAATCATAAGCCTTGTTGGGCAAAAGCCATACCTGGCCCCGCCCACTTCCTAAACATGCTTGGCAGGCAGGCACCAGAAAAGGCCTTAGCAGATAAAGGGACCCACTGGGATCCAGTGTGCAGACCTGGACTTCAGAGAAAGTGGTGTAGGGGTTAGAGTGTTAGACCGGGGAAGTAAAGGTAAAGGTTTCCCTTGCTTGAAAGCCAGTCGAATCCGACTCTAGGGATGCAGTGCTCATCTCCGTTTCCAAGCCGAAGAGCCAGCGCTGTCTGAAGACATTTCCATGGTCATGTGGCCGGCATGACTAAACACCGAGGCGCATGGAACGCTGTTACCTTCCCACCGAAGCGGTATCTATTTATCTACTCACAATTTCTTGCTTTCAAACTGCTAGGTTGGCAGAAGCTGGGACCAGAGACGGGAGCTCACTCCATCATGCGGCACTCGGGTCTCGAACTGCTGAACTACTGACCTTCTGGTCTGCAGTTCAGCATCTTAACCACGTGAGCCACCACAGACCGAGGAAACCTCGGTTCAAATCCCTGCTCTGCCACGGAGCTCAGTGGGTGACTTTGGTGCAGTCACCTTCCAAGCCTAATCTACCTCTCTTATTGTGAAGACAGAAATGGGGGAAGGAAGAACCACACAGGTCCCTTATGCACTCTCAGTCTCCTCATCCATACAATGGGAACAGTGTAAATCTCATAGGACTCATGTGACGATATAGCACATTGTAAAACACCCTGAAAATTAAAAGTACTACATAATAAATACAAGTCATAATGAATTTGCTATAAAGAACTAATCAATGATCACAAACCACAAACAGTTCCATAGAGAAAGGGGAGAATTTTCTGTCTTCCTCCTAATTGTTTTGTTTAGGCGGGGAGATCTGTTTTGCTGTTGGGTGGCATTCTGAGAAACAGACCTCCCTGCGCCACCTCCTACTTCTCTGCTCTCACAGGGAAGGTGCACTCCACTCCTGTAACCTGAACTCACTCTTGACAATGGAATGTCAACCCAAAATGGGCCTTCCTCCCAGGATGAATCGAATGCAGATGGCAGACAAACCGAACAAAAGACGGAAGGACAAAACGATGAAGGCATCATCCAGTGGAAGTTTTCACAGCAAGGTGACACGGAGCAGGCTGAGGACAACATGCTAGGACTTGTTTATGTCTCCTCACCAAAGGTAGTACAAAACGTAGTTGCCATAACTACCTAGGAGGGCCAGAAAGCAAATGCAGATGGCGAACATGGAGCTGAAGCTCAGCCCAGCATCCTTGGTGAAGATCGCCAGCGTGATTTCACAGTTGCGGCCGGCGTAGCCATCGGGGCAGTGGCACCGGAACTTGCTTGCGGACTGGGAGACGCACGTGCCAAAATTGCAGGGTCTCTGAGCACACGCGGTGTAAATGCAGTGCCGGCCTGTGGCATTCTCCACCAACATGTGTCCTGGAGGGCAACTGAAAAACACAAATGCAAATAAAGAAATCAAGGTCTGAACCACCACACCGTCAGACCATTCAAAAATTTGGGAGTGTCATAATCCCAAATGACTTTCATATCCTCGTTTCGCTACAGAAAGAACCCATTCTGGCACAGTGCCATTTTCTCAAAGATAAGCAGCCTGAGGTCAGACTAGATTGCTGGGAAAGATCTCGTTCACAGCACTGTCATTCATCAATGATGGGCACACAGCCAACAAAAGAGTGTCCTGTGGCACCCGTTCAAGACTTAAGAACTTGTTGTGGAACAAGAGGTCACAAGCAAGCCTACTTCATCAGATATTTTAAGTGGACAATGGAAACGTTGGCTACACACAAAGGTGAGAGGAGGAAAGGAATACGTGAACACACATGGGACTGCCTTATACGGAATCCGACCCTTGGCCCACCGAAGTCAGTATTGTCTCTCCATGGTCTCAGGAAAAGGTCTTTCACATGACCCTACTGCCAGATCTTTTAACTGAGATACCAGAGATTGCACCTGGTACCTTCTGCATGCCAGAGCAGATGCTCTACCACTGAGCTGCAGCCCCACAGAAAAACGGGCTGATTCCACACAAGGTTTTTTCCCCCCATGTGGTCATGTTGCTCTAGTTACACTTGGCAACGGGGTTTCCACACAGCGCAAGCAATCCCATTTTTCACCCTCATGAGCTGTGCTTTCCCTTTCGCACCAGATGAGGACTGCATGCCTCCCATCGTCACGCCACTATCAGGATCCCCTACCCACTTTTTAATAGAGATGCTCAGGAATAAACAGATTCGAGCCCAGTAGCACCATCAACAAAGGAAACTTTGACTCTCAAAAGTTTATACCCCAAAAATCTTGCTGGTCTCTAAGGTTGCTAATGGACTGGAATCCAGCTGTTCTACTGCAGACTAACACGGCTACCCTCCGAAACTAACCTCAGGAATAATACGGTAAAGGTAAAGGTTCCCGTGCTCGAAAGCCAGTCGAATCTGACTCTAGGGTTGCGGTGCTCATCTCCGTTTCAAAGCCGAAGAGCCAGCGCTGTCTGAAGACGTTTCCGTGGTCATGTGGCCGGCATGACTAAACACCAAGGCGCACAGAACGCTGTTACCTTCCCACCGAAGTGGTACCTATTTATCTACTTGCAATTTCTTGCTTTCGAACTGCTAGGTTGGCAGGAGCTGGAACTAGAGATGGGAGCTCACTCCGTCATGCGGCACACTCGGGTCTCGAACTGCTGAACTACGGACCTTCCACAGCCTGCAGTTCAGCGTCTTTTTAATTTTTTAAAAAAACATACATTTGCAAAGCACAGCTCCAGAATAACACAATACTCGAAACCTTTGGTAATGCTAATTGCTGGAAGGTACCAGGTGTCCTCTGTAGTCATCTACACTGAAAAGACTAATTAGACCCTTGATGCTTAGGGGAAGGGAACGGAGCAGTTCGAGAACTTTTCAAATGCTCATCCTTTGCCACTCATTTTGTCGTTTTGTCCCAATGTAGGAACAGTGGCACAACTTTGTTCTGACCCCCACCCCCACCCCGTCTGTTTTGTCGGTGCCAGCAAGGTCACCAAAGTAGTTCACTGTGAAAAGGCAGAGGGAGGGGAAGAGGAGGTGGGGTTGTTTCATTAAAACAGAAGGCATATCTTCTCTTCCAGACACATGAAAAAGATTGTCCCAACGAGGAAATATGAGTCAAACTGGGTTGGCCAATCCTGGGATTGCCATTTTAAACACTTGACAAAAACAACAACACTAAAATGTCATTTAGCACAACTGTATTAGAAAGCAACAAAATCACCACTGCCTGGTACCTAGAGGGCATTAAGGTCAGTGTCATGCAAATGTTTTGGGAAGGGTGTTCCATAAACAAGCTTATCTCCCAAAGAAAAGGCCCTTCGAGCAATGCCTCCCTTGTAAGAGGAGAGAGGTGAAGAGGAAGAGTTTGCCTTGGTTGACAGAAGGGAGAGCCGGCCAGTCCAATGCTTGTCTTCCCTGGGGTGGGGCAGAGGGAAATCCATGCAGGGGCTGGCATCTGTCGCACCACTCCTGTTTTGAACACTGGCAAGGGAGACACTCACCTGCCCTCAGTTTACCTACTCTATTCCACCTACTCTACTCCAAAAATGGTACAGAGGAAATCCACTGGTTTCAGATTACTGTATTTATTTTACTTATTTATACTCCGCCTTTCTCCCTTGGACTCAACACAGATCACACAGAGTGAGTCAATACAATCAGCAGGGTGAGACGTCCAATGAACAAGGCAACAGGAATGAGGGTTGCAAAATCGACAAGAAGTCTAAAACCAGAACTGAAGCAAAGCAGGAGGAGGAGATTGGATTTATACCCTGCCCTTCACTACCCGAAGGAGTCTCAGAGCGGCTTACAATCTCCTTCCCCTTCCCCTCCCCACAACAGACACCCTGTGAGGTGGGTGGGGCTGAGAGAGCTCTTTTGAGAACTGCCCTTGAGAGAGCAGCTCTGAAAGAACTTGTAAATGACCCAAGGTCACACCAGCAGCTGCATGTGGAGGAATGGGGAATCACACTCTTAACCACTACACCAGACTGTAAATATCAACATCAGTGTAACTCTACTGCCTGTGTAGAAAAGCCCTCTTGAATAATTCAGTTTTCTATAGTTTGCAGAAAGCCAGGACAGCGGGAGCCTTCCTGACCTCTGGCAGGCCATTCCATAAGGTGGGGGCCACCACGGAGAAGGCGTGTATATAGGTAGTTGTTGATTTTGCCCATTTGCAGGTTGGCACCTCCAGAAAGCCCTGCTTAGGTAAGCGAAGCTGTTGTGGCAGGGCACAGGGGAGAGGCAGTCTCGCACGTGTGAGGGTTCAAGGCCATGGAGGGCTTTTGTATGTGATAGCTGTACCTTGAATTGAGCCCAGTAACTGACGGGCATCCAGTGAAGGGCCCGCAGGATGGCCAGGAGCAGTGTGAGAGAAAAGTTGCCTGAATGGTACACAGTACAGCTTAAGGTGAGCATCCCGAGGGAGAAGACTTACCTGCACTCATACATCATCCACAAGTCAATACATATAAACTGCTGGCTGCAGGGATTGCTCTTGCAAGCATCTGAAAGGCAGTCTTTTTCCACTCCTTGGGCACTCAATACCAGCTCCTTAGGGTAAGCGTCTAGCAGCAGCTCATAGTTATTGAATCTGACATCCTTCATGCATCCTGAAGCAGAACACAAAAAAGAGGCTCGATCGTGAAAGTTCTATATCCAGAATTATTTTTGAAATGGATGCCGCAGTTCTGTAAGGCTGAGCACGGGTTACTTTTCTCAAGGGATGCAGGCCAGGGAATGTCAGACCCAGGTCAAAACTAGTTCCTTGCACGAGCACCAGCACGTGCACACACACGCACACAATGTGAGGTTTTTTTAAAAAAACAAACAATTTATTAGGATATAATATTAAGTCACATACATATTATATTCATGGTGGTTATACATCCTTTCTTCTATTTCTACCCCCCTCCCTTGGCTTCCCACAGTGCTCCAACCTCCTGCCCATTCCTTAAAGTTTCTTCTATTTTCCCTTATCTTTTAATCATAATCTACCGGTAACATTTCCTTCACCTATTGTTTTCTTATAGATAACTTTCTTCTAATAACATACATTTTTCAATAATTGACAAAGCAAATTAGATTGTCCTTTACATCCCAATATTTCTCTAGGTAATCTTTGAGATCTTTCCAGTCAGCATAAAAGTCTTCTGCTTCAAGATTCTTAAATTTCCTTGTCATTTTATCCATTTCAACCATAAACAGTAATTTCCTTATCCAATCCCCGATTTCCGGAATTCTGTCTTGTTTCCAACATTGAGCATAAGTCATTCTGGCCGTTGTAATCATATACCACATCAAAGTCCTTTTCCCCACACACAATGTGAGGGTTTTGATTAAGCTCTGGGAAAAATGGATTTCAAGACAATCTGAATCTGAACTTCTTTACAGACAAGTAATTTTTGCCACAAATTCAGTAAAGCGGGGATTTCTGATGCTCGTCAAGTATTCTTAGAAAATGGGCAGAGCCAAATGGCGTTCTTGCCCTACAAGGTTTCTGATTGGCCATTGGAGATTTGATTGGGTATGCAAATCTTTGAAAACACTGCTTTGACAGCAGCTGCCACTACAGCACACAAGGATCTTCACTGTGTGACTGAAGGTCTACATCCTGCGGCAGCCATTTTGTCACAGCAAATTTGTGGCTGTGCCTGCCACACTATGTCATAATTCCCAGTGTGTCAGAATTCCCAAGGTGCCTGCAGAGTCAAAAAGGTTGGGGAGCCCCACAGTAGAGACTGTGCATCAGCACGAAGACACACTTTTAAGAGCAGCTGCAGCAGGATCTTCAACCATTAGATGAGCAATGCAATGGAACTTGTTATCACGGATACGTACACCAACAAGTCTCTCCTCCCACGCTAACAGCTCTCTTTTAAGCAGCTCACATGATTTCCAAAAAATGTCCTTCACCTTACACCTCCCTCCAAAAAAAATGACAAATATTTTACAAAACAATCCTAACAGCGTGCCAGGAATTTGCTGGGATATGTTGACATCATGAGTACTAACCAATACATAGCCCCCACCACCAGATTTTTCTTGTCACTCCCAAAACCTGCAGAATAATTTTTTTCCCTAGCATTCTTCCAGGTGAGGGGAAAAAAATAACATTGGTTAACCGAGAAAAAGGAGACACTACCAAATTACCACCACCACTCTTAAAATGCCACGTCCGTCTTCCCGTGCAGTTTACAAAATGACAGAACTGCCTAAGATTTGTAAAGGAAAACTTAGAATAACCAAAAGCAGGGACATGGGGAGATCTATCACTAGGATGTCTTTTCGGTGTTGCTATTTTTCATTTTAAAAAACTGGCAACCCCATAGCTGTGTGAAAACAGCACAGCAAGAGTAGTGGATACAACATGCTGACACACAAGACATTTTCCCTCAACTACTGCCTCACTGTGCCTTTAAAAACTTAACGTATGAAGGAAGCAAAACAGTGCAACAGAACCCAGAGACAGTAAAATGGACTGTACTACTTCTGGTTGTGAATTTCTGCTTTTAACATTCCTCTGCATAAAACAGTCCATGCGATCTTCTTTGATCGCTGTGCTGGTTTCTCTATTTTGAGGGAGTTTTAAACACAAATGAGTATTCCAAAGCGTGATCCTCCACCCGTAATCCGAAATGGTTCAGTCCATTCAGCCACCTCAGCACCCCAACTTTCCCATTCCCCTGCATGTGTGAACCAGGTACCCGGAAGGACATTTATTAGAAAAGTAACCTCTTTTTTTTTTTTACCTTGGAAGCTGTGGTTCTGGCTGACAGGATACGTATTGCCAACCACCAAGCTGCTAGGGTCAACGCTGATCTCTTTGTAAATGCCTTCTGCCTTCAGGATTTCTCTCTTCCCGCCTCCTCCATCCAGGCGAAGAATGAACTCATTTTCATTTCTCTCCAGGGAGACATGATGCCACTCACCGTTATCAAGTCGGTAGGAAGGCAGGCTAACGGCAACCACGCCATCTCCCAGGTTATAAGATACCGTTAACAATCCCTGGACCACCTGGAAGAAACCCAGGAATCTGGGTTAATCGTTTTGTATGACCCACAATAGTCTGGCCAAGGCCAAAGAGGAAAGAGAGGGCAGGGTAACGATTCGACATTAGACCATGACCTCTGAACTGCCCATGTATGCAGACAAGAGAATCAGACTTCAGATGGCTAGAGAAATGTGACAACCTTACCACAGAAACGCTCATTACATTAATAGGAATTGACCAGGGGGTGACCAGTGGTTCACTTATTTAGCATATTTATACACCACCACTGGGTCTAAGGAGCTGCGGTGGCTCAAGTGGTTAAGACGCTGAACTGCAGGCTGTGGAAGGTCGGTAGTTCAGGAGTTCGAGACCCGGGTGCCGCATGACGGAGTTGAGCTCCCGTGTCTAGTTCCAGCTCCTGCCAACCTAGCAGTTCGAAAGCAAGAAATTGCAAGTAGATAAACAGGTACCACTTCGGTGGGAAAAAAACAGCGTTCTGTGCGCCTTGGTGTTTAGTCATGCCGGCCACATGACCACGGAAACGTCTTCGGACAGCGCTGGCTCTTCGGCTTTGAAACGGAGATGAGCACCGCAACCCTAGAGTCGGATTCGACTGTCTTTCGAGCAAGGGAACCTTTACCTTTTTACTGGGTCTAAATGGCCCTCTGGGCAGTTTAACAACAAAAATAGTAAAGGTCTCATGAAGGCATACAGAATGTCCAGAAATCGAAAGCATTAACAGAGGACACTGGACATGGCCCGGCAGTGGCAATTACTAACGGATGTCAGTGAATGCAATCAGATGCTCTGTAAACTGTCCAGTTTAAAAATGCGTGACCTCCGTGTCCTGCCCAGGCCACCTGGACGGTCCCTAAGCTGAATATACAGACATTGACCAACCACTTGCTGACACATGAAGCTGCAGTCTCCTGAGTCAGACAATCGGTCTATCCAGGTCAGTATTGTCCACTCTGGCTGACAGAGGCTCTCCGGGGTCTCAGTCTTCCACATCATTTGCTACCTGATTCTATTAACTGGAGATGCCAGGGACTGAACCGGGGACCTTCTGCGTGCAAAGCAGATGCTCTGCCCTCTGAGCCACACTCTTCGTCATATCACCTTCACCACATCATTTGCAGATTATGTACATCAACCAGGTGATGTGCAAAAAATTTTTGTTCATGCTTTTATACGCCTCCTCCAAAACCATCACAAGTGTTTATGGAAAATGTTCACTCAATCCACATCAGGCATCGCAAATGCATTCACGTGTGCTTCATGAGCAAGCAAGAGAAATATTTTGATGAGACGGTTTTAGCATGGTGTTGGACAAGGATCTGGGCGACCCAGATTCGAGTCCCCACTCTGCCATAAAAGCTTCCTGGGTGATCTTGGGCCTGTCTCAGCCTAGCCTACCACACCGAGTTGTTTTGAGGATAAAATGCAGGAGGGAAGAACAATGTCGTAAGTTACTGTGAGTCCCCCATTAGGGAGAAAATCAGGTTATAATAAACAAAGAATCAAACTATCTATTAAGTGGATAACAACTTCCCTCCCTCCCACCTGGCGATCAAGTTCCACCTTACACTGATCTGTCTTTGCACGACGTGCCCTTGCATGTAAGAAATAAAACTGTTTTATTAAAAAAAGAAAGCAGGAGTGTGCAACTATCCCTTAAGTTTGGATAATGAAGACTCTTCACTACTCCCTGGAAATTTCCGTGCACTCTTTTTTGCAGACTGAAATGTGCCAGGATGGGAAGAGGAGGTTGCAGACTGTCATGCTGAAATGTGCCAGGATGGGAAGAGGAGGAAAAGGGAGGAGAGAGAAAGGACAAAGATCTATTCCAAGCAACGAAGACAAATATACCACAGGGAGAGATAGGAGGGCGTCTCGCCAAGGCTCCTCTGCACAAAACGAATTCCGGATTGTCACTGACCATCACTCCTCACTCACCTGCAGGGTGATGTGTTCATCCTTGTTCTGGGAAGACATGCTCATAATGATCCCGTTGGGCTGTCGCATCCTCACCATCGCCTCGGCCAGGGTTTGGCGAGCAGGTATGGCGACAGGAAGCTGGTAACGAATGTAACTGCCCGGCCCAAAGGAATATTCCTCAGCAACTAGGACAATCAGAATAGAAAAGTTCTTTAAAAAAAAATTTTTTTTCTGCAAGGAGAAATAAATATATTGAGGTATATACGCAGGAGACTCCACCAGGACCACAATTTAGCACTCGCTTGTAATCAAGAACTGGTCTGGTTGCCTAGGGTGAGTAAAAACCGTCACTGCCATTGCCAGGCGGCCAGTTACAGCATCTTCACTGCTCTAAGCAAATTCTCAAGAGTGACAGAGAGGGAAAAAAATGTGTAAGTACTGGAGGTGCAGCTGGATTTCTCCACAAATGAGCCTGGAATATGAACATCATTTCACAGTCCTCGTCAAGGATAACAGATTCCTCTCTGGCTCAGATGGTTCCTTTTTGATGCACCTCCGCAACTGGTCTGTGGCTCCATAAAAACATTAGAGAAGCCATGTTGGAGCAGGCCAATGGCACATCCAATCCAACATTCTATATCACACAGTGGCCAAAACCCAGGTGCCACCAGGAAGTCCACCATCAGGTCCCTCCTTCATTTGTCTCTCTTGCTCTCCCCCCACCCCTGTGTCAGTGATTAATTCCCCCCTCTCACATGTGTTGCAGGAGGCAGCAATGGTGTTGGATCAGATAGGAGAAAAGAAACATCTTTTCGCTTCCCTTCCCTATTTCTTCCTCCCCCCCCACCCCACATTCAGACAAATTTGTTCCCAGGAGTCATGTCCTCCGAACTACATTTCCCAAAAAATTCTACTAAATCTCTGAGAGCTGCCACAAGACCCCTGCTTTTATTTACTCAGCTGTACCTGAGCCCAGTTTGAGGCAGGTTTGAGGGACTTGCTCATCTCTATAACACACTGCATTGTATTTCCATAACCTGGTTCCAAAATCTATATTTAGAGTATCTTGGGTCTTCCATAATATTGGATAATGGTGCTCAGATGCACTGCCATACACACATGACCATACATGAAGCTGCCTTATACTGAATCAGGCCTTTGGTCCCTCAAGGTCAGTCCTGTCTACTCAGACTGGCAGCGGCTCTCCAGGGTCTCAGGCAGAGGTCTTTCACATCACCTCCTTCCTGCTCCTTTGACACTGGAGATGTTGGGGATCGAACCTGGGACCAGTGTTCCCTCTAAGCTGAGTTAGTGTAAGGTAGCTCACTGTTTTTTACCCTCCGGCTCACACAATTTTGTCTTCGCTCAGGAAGGATGACTCCAGGGCAAACGAATGTATGCAGTAGCCAAATGGCTGGCTCACAACTTTAATGCCAGTAGCTCACAAAGTAGAATTTATGCTCACAAGACTCCACAGCTTAGAGGGAACATTGCCTGGGACCTTCTGCATGCCAAGCAGATGCCCTACCACTGAGCCACAACTCCTCTCCTCTTGTCTAACCATGATAAAGGAGACTGGGAGAATTAATGTGTGAAAAGGGGAGGGATGGGGAGTTACTTCCTTTCCCCAGATGATCGTTAATGGCCATTCCCTCTGCACTGGCCCAGGGAAAGCTCAAACTAGAGCCATCCGCAGCCGTCCCGATCTGCTTCTGCGTGCTTATGGTCGCTGCTGCCTCCGTGGCCTCTGCCCCCCCCCAAAATTCATTTTCAAGGCTGCACCTGCAAGCTCCGCAAAATGTAACAATGCATCAATGGTCCAACGGTGCACAAGGATGTACTTCACCTTTGTCACACCTGTGGCCATAGTGCCCTGGCAAGCAAAGACAGGTAAACGAGCCCCAGTCGCTGAGGCATCGGCCATGAGCTCCACAGGGAGAGGAGCCCTCCTTCTCACAGCTGCCATCTGTCCAGGCGCAGCCAGGTGAACTATTCAGAGATTCTGCTGGAGATTCAAGGTCATACACCTTCAAAAAAAAAATTCCAGAAGGAAGTATCATAGCTGACAGTAAAAGAGACAAAGAGAACTTTGAAACAGACTCATCATGATTGACTTTTTGGGGAAAGGGAGAGCAATCACCATGGTTTTTTTTTAATTTATATTTAAAAACTTTTTCGCATACACGAATTAAATCTTACGGGATCATCAAGTCAAGAATCTACATTTAGTGACGCATAATAAATAACCAAGAAACAAATACGCAAAATACAAATGGTAAACAGTCAAGCCATGTTTCAAATTCAAATGTGAACTATCATGGAAAAAAGTCATATCCCGATACACTGAGTTGCTAGGTGAGATGTCACGTTCAGCAAAAAAGCTTAATACAGGGAGGCACATCTCTGTAAATAAGAAGCCCCGATCACCATGTATCACTTTCCCTGTAGAAAAAAAAAATAAACAAACCCAGACCCTAAGTGATGCACAGACACGTTCCTGGCCCACACTGTGATGGCTTGTCACTTACCTGAGTATCCAGAATGAGATTGCGAATGCAGCCGGTAAAATGCTTATGCTGCAACTGGGGGTACACGTAGGGAATCGATTCTTTCACACCGCCCAACTGGAGAACCTGGTTCAGGTTCAAGTACCTTCAAAAACACAGAGGTGCTAAATAAGAGATGAATGTTTAGTTAGCGCACCAGTCTACTAAAAACAGCACCAGGAAGGCAGAGCGGCTACCACTGCGGAATCTTCAAAAGCAACTTCAGAGGTGCAGCCATGTCAACGTGCCGCATTAAAAATAAAACAGGAGTCTCAAGCCACCCGAAAGACTATTTATTCCAGCATAAGCTTTTGTGGACTAGAGTCCACTCATAGTATGGACTCCAGTTCACAAAAGCTTATGCCAAAATAATATTCTTGGTAGTCTTTAAGGAGCTATGGGGCCCCTGTGTTATTTTTCCGAAGAAGAAGAGATTGGATTTATATCTGCCCTTCACTTGGAGTCTCAGAGCGGCTTACAAACTCCTTCCCTTCTTTTCCCCACAAGAGACACCCTGTGAGGTAGGTGGGGCTGAGAGAACTCTGAGATGACTGGTCTTGAGGTAACAACTCTGAGAGAACTGTGGCTTGCCCAAGGTAACCCAGCAGCTGCATGTGAATGAGTGGGGAATCAAACCTGGTTCTCCCAGATCAGAGTCCATGCCCCTAACCACTACACCAAATTGGTTCTGCGTAGAGCGAAAAATGGGTCAGATTCTATGACAGCATAACTCCATTATATCAGCAGCATCATTCCAGCACTAGAGTTCAGCACTATGAACTGAGAACCATCACAACTGAGACATCTCAATGTCAATAACCTAATGTGTAGGATGGGCAGGTAGAGGGAGCAGGTGAACATGCACACACCCTAGCTGGTTCTATTCATGCCATCCGTGCAGTTCAACTCTCTGCCTATTTGCTCAGAATCAACAATGTAATCTTCTAAATCCACAGAAGCCACTATGAACAGAGTGGGCTCAGAAAGGTGTCACTGCTTAGGACTGCACTGTGGTCCCATTTTGCCAAATGGAACTCACTCCCAAACAACTGGACACCAGATTGCAGTCGCACAGCTTGATCCTACGCATAGCTAGGCAAAACTAATGCAGTGGTACTGAGCATACAACTTTGCATAAGTTCAGGTTGTTAAACCTATGGAAGTGGAAGAAGTTACCCATCAGTTAGATGAGACGAAATGCTGCCTACATGCACATGCGCATTCCAGTCTCCCTCCCAAATTTGGAAAGTGAATTTAAATCTTACCTATTTGCTTGTGGGACGAACCCCACAACCTCACAGTTTGTTCGGTCTTCTGTCGACAGCCACTCCCCCACACCTTCCACCTCTGACACAATCGCAGCCTTGCACTGGTCCAAAGTGAATCGAACACCCTGGACAAAGGCATGGAAGACCAATGAGTGACAGCGACATGAAGTGCGCCTGTGAGTGCCACACTGTTCAAAGATGAAACTGGGGAATTAGGCATAGCTAGGGGAAATTGGAAAGACTGTTGAAACCAACAATAAGAGGTATGAGCTGAGACAAGCTCTCCAGTGGAACCACCTCACTACTCTCCATATACTGAGACAAACTCTCCAGTGGGGACACCTAGTTACTCACAACTGTGGGCAGTTGTACGCACCTGCTATATGAAACAAGTTCCATTTGGGGTGTGCGCCACTAAGCCACGTTTATTTATTTAAAACACGTTTATGCGGCTTTTCCACAAAACTCAGGGCCCCCAAGGCAGCAATTACAACTACATTTAAAACACATCTATATAAAGCAGTTAAAAGCAACGATTAAACAGAGCACATGGCAATGAAACACACAAACAATTAAACACATGACACAAAACGCATGACAGTTAA